GTATAGTTTCAATTGTTATAGGGGAGAATCATTCTTATTTTGATTTGGTTCTGCTCATCGGGGTGAGTCCTCTTATCTTTCTTCACATATGGGTGAGTTTCATGATTTTGTACTCTGCAATGTGTTTACCCCTGTTGGGAGATTCTTTAGTGGTAACTTGTGTCTATCGTTTTGTTTTATTCATTATTGAGAGCTATGAGACTAGAAGTGACTTTCTGTTACCCATTACGTTAGGTTTTGATGTGATTTCTAGATGGTTGGTTATGATTTGTGATTTAGATGCTCTACCAGTATGGGAGTTAGTTACGTGCTGTAATTATGTATCGCGAAATGGAATTAGTGGAAGGTTTCAGATGGTATGATGTATATTCTACTTGTGATTTAGACCTGAGGATGGTATCCTCGCGTTTTCTTGCGATTTGATATGTTTGAATCGGGCTACGTGCCACGGTGGGGTTATATTAGGATGATATCCTTGTGGCTAGTTCATATGTTTTGATTCTCCCTTGTGGAATAGCTTAGTAGTATGGTACTAATAGGGAGTTGTGCCTGTTGGGTTTGTTTGATAGTTCTCTCATCTGTTTCTTTTTTAATATCCAGTCACATTCGTACTGTGCTTATTGGGTTCTAGCTTGCGAGGTGTGTGCCCAAGTGGTGTTGGGTGTGACTTGTTGCTTTGAGTGAATATTCATGGTATCTTCATGTTTCTTGCATCGTTGTCAGTGTTGTGGAGGTTTGGAACGGGGTTCTAGCCGATATGAGATTAATTGCCGGTGTTGGATTTGATTATGGGCAACTATGGTGGTTAGAGATGTTGTTATGGGCATATATTTGACATGTTACATCATGTGGTTTTCCCTTGTGGGTGTAGGCATGAGGTGTTGTGGCTGGTTGAGGTTGATACTGTGTGTTGATGTGGGAATCGAGTCTTTACGAAATGATCGGATGTTGATGATTCCAATAGCTTCGTATGATGGTTTTGGACTGAGGCGTGTGTCCGGATTTGCATTTGGAGGTCCTTAGGTTAATTTGCTACATTTTGGTGAAACATTTGAAAGTTGAAGGTTTGGAAGGTTGAGAGGTTTGACTGGGAGTTGACTTTGTTGATATCAGGTTCAGATTATGATTCTGAGAGTTGTATTAGCTGCGTTATGTCATTTGGGACTTGCATGCAAAATTTGCGATTATTCCGAGTTGATTTGATATGATTCGGCACGAGTTGTAGAAGTTGAAAGCTCATAAATTCATTTAGTTCGATTTGGGGTGTGATTCATTATTTTGATGTTGTTTGATGTGATTTGAGGCATCGAGCAGGTCCGTGTTATGTTATAGAACTTGTTAGTATGTACGTACGGGGTCCCGGGGGGGCCCAGGTGTGTTTCGGATGGGCTTCAGGCCATTTCGTCATGTTTTAGAGTTGTTGGTTTTCTGATGCTTCAGGTACTCTATGCGATCCCGTGTTTTCTATCGCGATCGCGATGTGTTGTGGGAACTGGGCGTGGTTTTTCTTCGCGTTCGGATAGATGTTTCCGCGTTCGCGAAGCTTAGGCAGACAGTTGTCTACGTTCGTACTTGTTTATTCGTGTTCTCGTAGTGGAGCTGCGAGCTGGTAGTCTTTTACTCATCGCGTTTGCGTGTCTCTATGTGTGTTCACCTAGCTTGTTGGCATTGTTCATCGTGTTCGCGAGGTGTGTGCCGCAAACGCGAAACTTTATTTATTGGGCAACATTTTGTTCTTCGCGATCATGAGGATTGTTCTGCGATCGCGTAAGAGGGATGCATGGGCAGCAAAATATTAATTCCCAATCGAGGGTTTTGTTCCATTTATCATCTTTTGAGCTGGAGACCTCGGATTTGAGCGATTTTTGAGGGGTTCTTCACGGGTTGGTTTATGGTAAGTGTTCTTTACCTGGATTTGATTTTATTTCATGATTCCATCCTTGTTTTTATCATTAAATTAGTGGTTTGAGTTGGGGGGAAATGAGAATTTTGTGAAAACTTTCAAAATATAAAATGATGATTTGATATTGAAATTGGATGATTTTGGTATGGTTGGACTAGTATCGTAATGGGTGTTCGGATTTTGTAAATTTTATCGGGTTCAGAGGTGCAGGCCCGAGATTGACTTTTTAGTTTTTATTAAAGATCGAAGCTTTATTATCCGGAATCGGTTCCTATAATTTTATTTATGATATTAAGTTATTTTGCCTAAATTTGATCCGTCGAGAGGTTGTTTCATACGAGAAGGTCATTTTAAAGTATCGGTCTAGCTTCTTACAAGTAAGTATCTTGCTTAACTTTGTATGGGGGAACTACCCCTTAGGATTTGAGCCATTTGTGCTAATTGTGTCATGTGAAGGTGTACACGAGGTGACGAGTACGTACTCGGGATTACTTGTGGGAATTTGACCATTTTAGGCTCTTAGGTTCTTATGTTCATTAAAAAAAAGTAAGTTGTTTTATCATGTTAAATCCTTCATTTACTGAATTCATCCTTACGTGTCTTATTTGGAGTTGATTGATTCATGTACTACCCTTGTTGCCAATAAACTCTTATGTGCCTTAATTGAAGTTGTCGCCTCTTTTATTGCTATGTTGTCTTTTTCGTAATTGCTTAACCTTAATTGAAGTTATTGTTGTCTTTTCCGTAATTGCTTAACCTTAATTAAAGTTATTATTATCTCTTCCGTAATTGCTTAACCTTAATTGAAGTTATTGTTGTCTTTTCCGTAATTGCTTAACCTTAATTAAAGTTATTATTATCTCTTCCGTAATTGCTTAACCTTAATTGAAGTTTTTGTTATCCCTTTCATTGTTGACTTGTCCTTATTTGGATTCATTGATTCATGTTATCTCTCTTATCGTCGAGTTGTACTTATGTGGAATTATTGTTACACATTATCTCTCCCCTTGTTGAGCTATTCTTGTTGAAACCATTATTACTTGTTGCGTCTTTGATTGTGAGCTCCTTCTTCCGTTTCTTTGTGTTATGTAGTCCTTGTGTTGATTTACTTGTTGTACTCTCGTATTATTGTTATTGTTGTTGTACTCAGTGTTGTTGAATCGAGGTCTATGCATGGTTGTGGTATTGAAATTATTTTGAGGAATAGTTGTGGCATATGAGCGCATATGGTGAAAGACCTTATATTGTGTTGTTATATTTTTGGCACATGTGGTATTATTGAGAGGATTATCGGGGTGTTCACACGTGAGTTGTCTGTGCTATTATTTTTTATGATATTTGCAAATGCGGCGTGAAAAGGCGGGCTATATATGTGAGTTTGTGCATGTGGCGAGATAAGGTGAGAATATTATTATGCGCGTGCGCCGAGACAAGGCGGGCATTTACTTTATTATTGCGCACGTGGCGAGACAAGGTGGGCTATGTCGGGGAATGATTTGTGATGGCCTGGGGGCATTTTTATTGACGATATTTGTGTAGTTGTGTGCCTACCTTGTGTGAGTTATACATTGTACGTTTCGTGGTGATCGTTTCCTATGTATCATTCGTTGTCTCTACTTGTACTTGTTGATTTGAGTTGTGATAGAACATTTGCACAAGCATACACGTAATTAATCGCCCATGTCGAGTTAAGAGGACGAATACTGATGTTATGAACCATTTACATGTACTCTCGTTTACTTGCCTTCTGTGTGAGAGTTGCTCTATTGGCACTTGAGTTGTCCGTTCGGTCAAAGATCACTGTTATTGTTGGCACGTGAGTTGTCCGTGAGGATATGAGATATTGTCACTCCCTTGGCACGTGAGCCGTCCGTGCGGTTATGAATTGTAATGTGGGAACAAGATGCCAAGCGATTAGGGTTCATGAATTGGGACCCGTGAAATATAACTATAAGGTGAAGTACCTCGGGGAAACCCTTGAACAAATTTTATGTGAAAGCGGTTGCTCTTATTGAGTTGTTACTTATTCCCTTTACTTGGTTTCACCGGACTTAAACTGTGTTCAGCTTACTCTACGACATTATTACATGGTTGTTCCTCGTTGCTAATCATTGTTTCTAGTGTTTTATTGCAAGTGTTGTTCTGTTATCTTTACCATGACTAGCTTTATATTGACATTGTTTCCCCGTTAGTTTCACATTCATACTTGTACAAGTTGTTAAGTCTAGTAGGTGTCTTGACTGTCCCTCGTCACTACTCCAATGAGGTTAGTCTTGATACTTACTGGGTACTGTTGTGGTGTACTCATGCTACGCTTTCTGTATATTTTTGTGCAGATTTAGGTACTTCGGAGTTGGTTGATTACTAGCTAGCTGTTCGGGTTTTGCTATGGAGACTCAAGGTATACCTGCCGTCCCGTTCGTAGGCCTCGGAGTCATCTTCTGATATTGTACTTGTATTGTCTATTACTATTCCGGAACAATTGTACTTATAAGATTTTCCTAGTAAACTCAGTAGAACTTATGACTTGTACTACCAGTTTTGGGTATTGTATTGCGCTTGGGATTATTGGTTTACTATAGAAACTTCAGTTTCGTGCTTAATAGTTGTTTTTGGTTAAGATTCTGTCATATAATATAGTAAGTGTTAGACTTACCTAGTTTAAGTGACTAGGTGTCATCGTAACATCCTACGAAGGGAAATTATGGTCGTGACACTGAGAAATTTTACGAATTTATAAATAGCCACAAAATTTAAATTTTTGTTGATATTGTTAGGTACTAGCCACAAAATTTAGATATATAGCTAGAGAGCTATAAATGTACTATGTTATAGTGCCTGTTTGTGAGGAAAGAATCAAGTGTTGGAGTTCTTGTGTGTGGACCAAAGAAGATGAGGCATGAAGCTGCAAACATATGTTTATCTGGTTTTCAGCCAACCTACATTTTGAGTCTATTAGCTTCAGTTGGTGATTTCAACATTTTCAACACTCTACATACACATTTTCAACGTCTTTGTTACGCTTTGCTGATTGAGTTTTCATGTCACTGTCAAGGGGAAGAAAAACATGTTTGCCTTCTTTTTCAAATATAAATAGTACTTTGACAAATTTTATTTCCTTACTTAGAAACATCAATTGAGAGTCCACAAACCTTAATTTTCTATGGCCGACTTATACTACAAAGATCAATGAATTTGCTAACTGATGTTTGAAATATATGATCATTTTGTCTAAAAATTCTAAACCATCACATAGAATATATACTTATTTCGACTTGTTCTACGAATCGGAAATAGTCTCTTGTAGACATAGAAAGTAAGGCTGCTTATATCAGATCCAATATGGTCTGATCATTCCCTGAACCACACGCTCAGTAAGAGCTTAGTGCACCGGACTACCTTCACCGTGGATAACCAGTTGGAGGGTATCCAACACCTGGTGGTGGTGGGTATCCATAGGGTTGCTGGTGTGGTGGTGGGTACATAGGTGGGTGCTGGGGTGGTGGGTACCCATGGGGTAGCTGCTTTGGTGGATAAGCTTGTGGCTGTGGCTGTGCATATCCAATGGTTGGAGGAAAAGGCTGATCCAAACGAGACATTTGTTGAACAGCTGGTGCTGCCATTGGCCTTGGCCCAAACTTACCATCTCTTTTATTCATTTCTACCTTGTGCTGTGTCTGCAAATTTATTTTGAAGAATAAACGTATTTTTAATCAAAAGAACATATAGCAATTAATAAGTTTTACACAACTATCACTTAGCATAGCCAGGACTCTTCCAAAATACCGTGTGCTTATCGGATCTTCCTAAAATAGTGCAATTTTGGAAGATCCGATAGTGCAATTTTGATGGATCAGACATATATGTGAGCATTTTTGGAAAGTTCAAGCAACATAGGTTATTAATTCAACTTTCACTACGTAAACATTATAAGGATGCACTGTTACCATAATATTTCAAGAGAAAAAAAAATGAAGGTAAAGAGTAATATATCAATTTATACATAAAAAAAAATAGCACAAGCTAGAGGCAAGAAATCACCAAGAAATTTTATGACTTAAGAAAAACAGAGGAGAGTATCCAAAAAATTGGATAACTTAACCAAAAAATTGGATTGATATCAAAATACTTTTAGTTTTTGTATCTGAAAAACATGAATTTGAGTTATTTTCTACTTAGATAATCTTATCAGACTTCTTTTTTGGCATAGATATGCTATGTATTTCAGATGTAGAATATGTTCAAGTTATCACCTACCTGCATACAGCTACAAACCCTGCCAAAAGAAAAAGAAAAGTTAATAGAGATGGATATTACAATCACAATTTACACTGTCAGTAGATATAAGTTAAATCTGTGTTTGTAATAATACTAAGTCAAGTGTCTTACGTGCAGTAAACCATGTCCGAGCAACAGTTGAGAACCCGAGAAGCCTCTTGAAGATCATCGTTTCCTGTAATACAAGCAATGCAGCTAAATATACATGCTACCTGCTGGAGGCAAAACATGAACCCCTACAACCAAAGCCAATTAACATTAGCTGAGATAGTAAAAAACAAGAAGATAATTAGATAAATCACTTGCAAAGCTGAAGAGAAGTTGAATTTACGATTATGCAATTATCGCATTTTGTCGTCTGCAGATTGAACTCATCTTGCAACATAAACCGTGTTGAGGCAACTGAATTTGCAAAGCAAAGAAACACCTGAACAGTAGCACATGAGTAGGTAATTAAGTAGGAGAATCGAAGAAAAAGCTCATAGAGCCCGTTTCACTTAGCTGATTAAAAGTAGTTAATAAGCATCAAGTGCTGAAATTGATTTTATAAATAAGTTCGTTATACAATATAAATTTTGAGATTGATGAAAATTCTGAAGGGGAATAAGTCCGGTAACACCAAACCTCTGTGCAAAGACATAACTCAGGGCAATGACTTTCTCCACATCTGCCACTACAAGGCATATAGCCTCCACAACATGTATACCTATAAGCACAAAATAGTTTAAATTACATGGATTAATTCATAAAGAAATGTAGCGAATTATATTGAATACCCAAACAGAGAAAAGACAATGCTTACCTTGACATATCATTGTATAGAGCTCGTTTTCGGAGGATGTATGACGCACAAGGACCGCTAAAACATTCAAAGGTAAACTGATAAACAATTTTGAACAGTACTTGCATAAGCAGAAGCATCAACATACAAGTATTTGATATCAACAGCAATTAAATAGATGACAAAAAGGAGTATTTGTATTAAAAATCTGCCTTTGATGCATTAAACACATCTGCTTGGAAAATTCGGTAGAAAAATAAATGATGCATTCTCTACACTCGGGACAGTCGTGATACCTATATACTCCCCAGAATTTCAAAGTTTTATACAGAGTACTCTATTGATTTTGCATATATAGAAGAGCATTGTCAATCAATCCCTATTCTTTCTTATTCATCTGATAGAAACTTGATTAATAGACACGACAAATCAGAATACACAATATTCTTAGTATATGCACCCATGCTACTATACAGAGATGTGGCTAAACTTCCAATAGTACTGTACAACTCTAAAAAAGGACTGAGAAACGCTTGCGGCTTCAAATCACTGCTTACTAAAGGCAACCCAGTGCACAATGCATCTCGCGATCATGCAGGGTCCAGGAAGGGCGGCATCCGAGGGTGTGATGTAGACAGCCTACCCTAATGCAAGTATTAGTGTTTGTTTCCACCGCTCCAGCAAAAGAATATAACAGAAGTGACCTAAACTCCATTTAAAAAAAGAAAGAAAAGAAAAGAAAGCAGCAATAGTGCAATTTAGATGCAATTTTTAAAGCTGCTTTCCTTTTTTTTCTCTCACAAAAGTAACTTCAATTTAGTCCATTCGACCATGTCTGCTCTCGATAATTACAAGTCAATCCTGTTTTTTCAGTTTCTAAGTTATTACATCAAGAATCTAAGTTTTACGGATTGACCGTGTGAAAGATACTTAACAATCAGATTATTTAAAACCAATAAAAATTATTGAATTTTTACTACATATATTTAAATCCTTTTATAACGAATTAACAGTTCAAATTAAGCGTCACACTATATAGCAAATGCTGGACCTTCGAGAAGTATGGATTAAAGCATTCATAAGATAAAGTAAAAGAGGAGAATGTTATGTAAAATCAACTCACCACCAAAGAGAGAAACAGCAAACTGCAAAGGTAACAAAAAAAAACCGAGATCACCGTTATGATCAGGGAATATATCAAAATTTAGAGTTTGACTTTTATCTACTATAACATAACAGTAAAGCCATAGTCACCAAACATTAAGAGTAGTAAGAATAAAGTTACAAAACTACTTTTTGTCACATTAAAGTAACTCAACTTTGCTCACAAAAAAAATAAAGCCACAAAATTTACCCAATGGCGATAAATGTACTATCAAGATGGCTTTACAATTACAGTGGATAAAATTTTGTGACTTCAGTATTATAAAGTTCACTTATTGTAATGCAAAGTGGATATACTATTATATTCAATGTGACAAAACAAATTATATGACTTTGCTATTACAGTAGATAAAATTCAGTAACAATATATGAAACTGCCTTCAAAAACTATTAAGCAATATCGAAAAGAATTGAGCAAAAATTAATGAAATTTCATGTGAAGTGACACGTACAAAGAGGATCAGACTGAGGAGCACGGAGCAGATCGGTGTGCCAGTGATTTCGAAAATTTTGACGGATTTTCATTTTCTCCATTTGAGCCTCCGACGAAGCCATTGGAACAACTATTGAGTAGTTCAAATTTCACGGTTGGGGTAGACTGTAGAGCTTAAAATCCTTTTTCCTATCAATGGGAAAAGAGAAAAAAGATAAATAAGCAAACAAGCTTTCGCGTGTTTGTGAATGTTTGATTAAGAAAATAGAGTTGAATATCCGTAGTCCAAATTCGAGAACGTTCTCCGTGTCTGCGCGGGTGGCTGTGAGAGACTTTTCAAGCTTTGAAGATGAATAAAGGGAGGGAATAATGTTTGTACATGTGGGGTTAGAGATAGCTGACCAACGATTCTACAAATCTTGGACTAGCTCTAGAAGGGCAATAACATTGTTAGAGTCAAAAATATTAATTTTTGGCATATAATAAATTACTTTAACATTCAGTCCTAAATATAGCATGATATTTGTGTGAGCATATTATTAAAGCGAACTGTGCAATTATCAATTACTATTCGTAAGCAACCAAAGCGGTTTGATTATAATACAATTTGTGAAGACCACAAGTAGAAAGTTCATATTCTTCCTTTATAGATAAATAATTTATTGGATAATATAACGTAATTAGTAAAAAAAATATACGGATTCCAAAATCAATACCCTAATAAGCAATCATTTCTTTCGTCTATCAATTTCCAACTTCGAACCGAACGATATTTGTTCCTAGCAGTCGTTTCTTCCAAAACAATTCATATTGAATATATTATGACAAAATACAACAAGTCACAAAGAGTTACATTTCTTTGTTGTAATTAACTAATCACTTTCATTTAGGATCTGTTTGGAAAGTCACCATATAATTGGAATAGGTGTAATTACTAGGGTGATAATTACACAATATTGTAATTACAATGATCTGTTTCTGTAACGATCCAACCGACAGTCTCGAACTCTAGCATCCGTCCGGTGGATCGAGACCTTGAGTAGCTTCACCTTATGTATTATAACTTGCATGTGTAGTTGGTTGTGAGTTTCGAGAAGTTCAGAGTTGATTTGGAAGAATAAATCTCAATTCGGAAGCTTTAAGTTGCAAGACTTGACCAAGTAACAGCCTCAAAATCGGGAATTGAAGGTTTCTATAGATTCATAAGGTGATTTCGGACTTGAGCATATGTTCGGGTTGAATATCGGGTGGTCCGGGAGCGATTCAATGCTTATTGTCGGAAGTTTGCATTTTGAAGGTTTTTGAATTTGCTAATTTGGCTTGGAGTGGTCTTTAGGGTTATCAGACTACGGATGGTGATTTAGGACTTTGGATACGTTCATTTAGTTGATCGAGACTTCTGTGTGAAGTTTGGTCGTAATCTAGAATGTCTAATGTGATTCGGACGCGTTCTACGAAGTTTAAATGTTTGAAAGTTAAGAGAAGGATTTTGATCGTCGATTTGTGATTTTGATAATATTCGTAGCATTTCGAGCCTTTGGAAAAAATTGGATAAGATATGGGGACTTATTGGTATGATTGGACGGTGTCCCGGAAGCCTCGTGTGTGTTTCGGGACGGTTTCAGACCAATTCTCTTTGATTGCAGTTGCTAGTTTTTAGTGTTAGGGGTATGCATCACGATCGCGTAGGAGGTATCGTGATCGCAAAGGTTTGAATGGAGATGGAGAAGACTTTGTTTTTTCGCGATCGCGAAAAGGTATTGCGATCGCATTTGGTCGTCAAGTTGTTCTTCGCGTTCGCATAGTGAGGGTCGTGAAGGCGATGTGTTAGTTGGTCTAGCATGTGTTGGATGTCACTCTAAGCAAACGCGTAAGGATTGTCGCGATAGCAGAAGACGAGTAGGTGAGGCCAGAATGATTGGCCTTCCCATTCATTGAGCGGGGCTCGCGTTCGCGTAGATTTGGTAGGCTGAGTGTCGCGATCACGAGTGGGACCTCACATTCGCGAAGAAGGATTTTTGGGTGAGGCTGGTTCGGCCTTCATGATTGTGTGGGTTCTTCCGGGATCGCAACGAGGCCCGACTAGGCAGTGTATAAGTTAGCAAATCGGGAATTTGCTCATTTCATCTCACTTCTCCCTTTTGGAGCTGATTTTAGGGGATTTTGTAGGGTCATTTTCATCATATATCACAAGGTATGTAATTCCCACTATGTGAGCTAAATACATGGATTATATATGAATTTAAATATGAAAATAGTAGAAATTGTGGGATCTTGGAAGAAAACCTAGAAATGGTATTTTTGGGTTTTGACTCAGATTGATTATTTACTTTGCAGGAAGTCAGATAGATTTCTTTGCACGGATTGCAAGGTCATCCCGAATGAGAATCTCTCAATCTTTCATAGGATCCTGATCATGGACCTTGAGATCACGAGGAAGAGGAGGAAGAGGGCGATGTATAGCCAACATAGGATAAAGTGGGGAGCCTTGACAGAAGCTAAAGCGCAGGAGTTGGGGGTCAAGCTGGTGACTATGGGGGCTTACAGGAGTAAGCGACCACGACTGCACAATGCATTAGGTAAGCCGCAAGAGAGGTATTAGTTGTCTCAAAGGGTTACTCTGGTGGCCACAAGGGAGACTGGTGGTGGAATGGAGAGGTGCAAGGAAAAGTGAAAACCAAAAAAGCAATGTATTTGAAGTTGAAAAGTATAGACGAAGAGGAGAAGAGAGCGAATAGGGAGCATTATAAGTTGGCTAAGAAAGAAGCAAAATGTAAGGCCCCATTAAAAATTTTCTAATGATTTAAGATTTTTAAGTGCGCCAGCGGTAGTTGAGAATAATGTATTTGAGTATTAAAGGAGACCTATGGGATAGAGCCACATCATTTTGAAATGATAATATATGTCTAAGGTGTGTTGGAACATACTAAGGAGACCTAAGGGTATTTGAGTATTAAAGAAGACCTAAGGGTACTTGTTATGTGTTATGATTTAAATATGTGCAACTAATGTCTAGATACCACCTCTGTTAATGTAATGCCCTTAATGTTGAGATCAGTGTTATTAATATATACTGTGATACTTTGTTGAGTTATGGATATGTTGTTAGGGTGGTTTTGATGATTCTCTGGCAGGTGGATAGGCCCCAATTACAGGGGAAACTCTGCCAAATTTCTGAATTTTTTTGGAGTTAGTCAAATTTGGAGGCTTAAAATGTTTGAAAGAAGAGTCGAGTTATGTTAGGTGTTCGGGGCGGACTCTACTCCTCATTCGAGAACGAATGATCCTAAGCGGGGGAGAATGTAAGGCCCCATTAAAAATTTTCTAATGATTTAAGATTTTTAAGTGCGCCAACAGTAGCTGGGAATAACATATTTGAGTATTAAAGAAGACCTATGGGATAGAGCCACATCATTTTGAAATGATAATGTGTGTCTAAGGTGTGTTGGAAGATACTGAGGAGTTTTGTGAATGGCAAGAACTTGTGTGGAACAAGTTGGATACATTAAGTGGAAAGGATATTTCAATTGGCACAAGACCTAACTTCAAATGAATATAACTCCATCACAATACATACTTAGGAGGTGATCTATCAATCAAATTAAAGCTCTTTGAGTCTAGTTTTCAACGCATCAAACCGTTTATCATTTGGATATTTCTACAGAAAGTTATGGCTATTTTACCGGACCTATGCCATATGCACTGTCGCGCACGTAGGAACCCATTAAATACCCCCAAGGTCGGGTAGAGAGAGGGGTTATGTCATTTCTTGAGCTAAAACCTGATATATTTAGAGTGAGAGAGTGCCCTAGAGTGGAAAAGTGTTGCTCAACAATTGTTCTTCAATTCTTGCTCAAATCTTGGAAGATTAACAAGGAAAACCCACAAGGTCTTCATCCTAAAGGTAAGATTCTATACCCTAACCCTCAATCTAGAATTTAATCTAGAATTGGGTAATTAGTAAGATAATGTTTGGGCATGGGAGTTGTTCATATTGCATGCATGTGTTATCAAAGGGTGTAAGAAGATTGTTGAGCTAAGAATGGTAGATAATGGGTTTGGGATGATGGAATCCACCATAGGAGCACCTTGAAACCTTAATGCATACCTAGTATTTGATAAAATGCTCAAATGAGCTAGAACCATGATTATCCTCCTAATTTTGGTTCAATTTGTTATATTTCTAAAATAGATTGAAGTTGCTAAGAATCCCGAAATATTTTAGAGTTTAAGGAAGCTCAATTGAGCTATGTTGGTTAAACTACTCTTTTAGAAATGAATTCCATGATATTCCCGTAAGTTTCAATTATGGTTGGGTCAAGTTCCTTATTCCCATGTTCCGAGTTATTCCCAATAAATTCGATTATCCCGAGTAAGCAAAGTGTCGAAAGATGTATGTATTCAAAATGTGTTCCGAATATTCCAATCACATTATGTTATCCTTTGGGAATGTGTTCGAGAATGATAGGTGTATTAAAATGTTATGTCTTTGAGTCATGTTTCAAATGAAGGTTATGATCCCAAATTGTGTGAGAAAATCTTAATATGCTTAAGACTCTTAATTTCTCTTATGTGTACCTAAAGGCTTGATTGGAAATATCTTATTGTTGATCATCTATAAAGATGGTTGGAAGTGAAATAAGTAAATTGAGAATATAAAGTGTGGCCAACGTGCCAAGAGTGAAAGTTATACTTGTGGCCAATGATGCCAATGAAATGAGATGATGTGAGAAAAATTATGAAATGAGCCTTGACTCAACTGTTCCAAAATTACTTCAAAAGTAGATTTGTCTAAAAGCTTATGTCCTCAAGTCATGCCCCAATGTGACTGTTTTAACTAATGCTATGCTTTATGAGTATTTTCAATATGTTTTGCGTTCTTACATATTCGTGAGTGGAAATTGTGTATTGCCTTTTTTGGGGAAAAGTAATTCAAGAATAAATGGTGTGTTACCTGTTTATGATTTTAACTTGTGCTTCGATTGCTAATCATTTTACTCCATTTCTTGGAAAGAAATATATTATTCTTAAAATCTTCATTTCTAATTAACTTAAAGTTGTGATTTCTGGAATATTATATATGTTGATATTTATGATGACGATCCATGAAAGGAAAGAAATGAAAGTGTAGAATATGAAATACGGCCATTGTGCTATGAATGAAGAATCATATGTATGGCCAAGAGAGCCAATGAAATAATGATGTTGAAAGTTGTTGAAAGTGATAATGAGGCTATATACGGTATGAAAGGTTATGAGGTAAATGCATTTGTATTGTTGTTTCCTTTGTAAGCATATCAATAATATTTTTGGGAGTATCAATAGTCACCGAGGAAGGGTAAGTT